GTTAAGAACACTGGTTGTTCTTGCAGAAGACCCGGGTTTGAATCCCGGCACCCACATGGCAGCTAACAACTGTCTGTAACTCCAGTCCCAGGGGACCCAACAGCCTTTTCTGACCTCTGCGGGCATTGCATGACACGGGTGCTCTTACCTACATGCAGGTAATACATGCATGTACATAGAATAAAAATAATAAAATTTAAAAACCGCTGTGTGGTGCATGGTAGGCTAGGGGTGCATGTGCCAGGGCATGTGTGTGGAAGTAAGAGGACAAATCTGTGGATTTGGTTCTCTCCTCCCTTTGCATGGGTTTCGGAGCTCGAACTCAGGTCAGCAGGTTGTGTTATAAACACATACCAGCTGAGCCACCTCACAGGCCTTGCATTGCATTTTTAACTGAGTGTCAAAAGTAACAGCCAAATTCCAGCTAGCAAAACAAAACAACCAAAAAACAATGAAGCGGGTCTGCAACTTTCCTGGACCCAAGTACTGCCGGGGTGTGTAACCCTGTGATCTCTGTCCAGCTTCCTGGGCGGCACTGTTAGAAAGGCAGAGAACAGAAGGGGAGAAAGGCAAAGAGGAAGAGAAAATGAGAGAAAAAACAGAACTCCATATAAAAAGTATTTTTTTTCCCATGCAGCAAAAGCACACCTGTGTCTCTTTCAGGAGCTACTCAGTGAGAGCTCTAGGGCTTCAGGTCCAGTCAAACACTAAGTAGATCTATCCTGAGAAACCTTGGGAAGGCTTCCTGAGAACTGCAGTGGGTTTCAAATCAGGAAGGTGGGAGGGAACATTCTGGGATGACTCTGTGCTCTCTTAGTTCCTGTGGTTTACTCTGAATTCTGATCCTCTTGTGTAAACTTATGGTGGCTTTTAACTTGCCTCATATAGTCTGATGATTAAACAGTGGAGAACAGAAAAGCCTCCATCAATATACTCTCTCCACTTTCACCGCCCCCATGTGTTAAAGGCACAGATTAAACACTTAGTCATCACAGCAGCAATTATTTCACGCTGACAAATGATTAAACAAGGGGGACATGTAAATAGATGGCACAGCTTCCAGTGGGACAGCCTACAGCACACCCGAGGACTCTTAACTTCTGCAGAGAGCTCCTGGGTCAGCACAAAGCATTGCAGAAGACAGAGAGCAATGGTCAACTGGGGGTGAGATCGTGGAATCTGAGCAGCAGATTTTCTACCCTCAGGCAGGGACTCACCTGTTCTGTTTGGCTGAGCCTCAGGGATGGTCCTGGGCCCTGCTCAGGGGTTCCTGAGTCTGTTGCAGGAATGTGTTCCATGGCACTGTCACAGGTGCTTATTCTCCCACCTACCTCCTGTGGAATGAAAGAACCAGAGCTCCAGAACCAGTTCCAGCCTGACGCCAAGGAAGCCCCCCTTCCCCACCCACTCATTCACAAATCCCCTGCTTGCAAGCGGAGTCAGGTGTATTTTGAGAAAAGTTCATTTTATATAGTTATTTTCCAAATATTTTGTGGTGGTAGGGTTTTTGTTTGTTTCTGTTGTTATTTTAAGACAGGTTCTTTACTCTGTAACCAAAGCTGGCCTGGAATTCACTATGTAGCCCAGGCTAGCCTCAAACTCATGGTGATCCTTCCACTTCAGCCTCCCAAGTACTGGGATTATAGGCACAAGCCACCATGCCCAGCTCAAAATCTTAAATTCACTAAAACTGTCTTATTGAGTATACAATGAATTTACAGAGTATTTATTAGATAAGTATTTAAATAGATTATTATGATCATTTATGATAAGGACCACATTTCACATTAATGACAGGAAAGAAGAGTTTATTACATTTAGCCTGAACCATGGCAATTCTAGGAGAGGGGAGGCATTTGTAAATCAAGGCAACAAAGGAAAAGAACACTGATGTAGACAACATAAAAAATAAAATGCACAGCTGGGCATGGTGGCGCACGCCTTTAATCCCAGCACTTGGGAGGCAGAGGCAGATGGATCTCTGTGAGTTCAAGGCCAGCCTGGTCTACATAGTGAGTTCCAGGACAGCTGGGGCTACAGGGAGACCCTGTCTCAAAAAGACCAAATAAATAAATAAATAAATAAAATGCACACTACAAATGGCACAATTCAAGTAAAAATTGAAATAATAAACTGGGATAGTTGTTTATAAAGGGTTACTGTTCATAATCTTAGGTAATCTTATAAAACAAATACATAAAACTCCAACCCCTATGTAGAAAATCAATCAAATGGCACAAACAAGCAATTCATAAAAAAATGATAAGAGTCAAAAGACATCTAAACAGAGGTGCTAAAGCATCTTAGAACGTAAATTCAGCTCAGCTGAATGTGAGTCCTAGCTTCAGGGAGAGCCCCTGACTTAAAGGAATAGGCAGAGAGTGATGGAATACTCTCTTCTGGCCTCCGTGTGTGCACAAGTATGCATATCCACACACATGTGCACATCATTCAATAGGCACAATAATAAAAAAAGAAACCTTAAAAATATTTTCCAGGGGCTTGAGAGATGGCTCGGCAATTAAGAGCACTGGCTGCTCTTGCAGAGGACCCGGGTTCGATTCCCAGCACCCACATGGTGGCTACGAACCTTCCTTAACTCCAGTTCCAGGGGAATCCGAAGCCCTTTCTGACCTCCGCAGCACTGCACGACACAGGTGTACTCACATACATGCAGGCAATACACTCATACACATAAAATAAAAATAAATAAAATATTAAAAAATTATTTTCCTTACATAGGATGGTGACAAATGCATCAGGAGGAAAGCAGGTGAGGACAGAACGGCAGATCACTTAGCCACTGAAAGGTGAGAGAAATGAGGGACCTAAGATGACCCTGAAGGTTATGTAGTGTAGCTATGGGAAAACAGCAGTGCCTCCGACAGGCATTGAGGAAGTGGCAGCAAGAGCTTTGCAGGAGAATTGGTAAACCGGGCTCAAGACAAGAACATTCACCCCCAAAGACAAATCTATCAGGAAGAGTCAAAATGTACAACACACATAGGAGAAGAGCTAAGATTAGAGACCTGATGTGGGAATCACCGGCATAGAGGTGATTATCAAAGCCGCGGAAGGATGGAGAATAACTCACCAATCGCTGTGAGAAACCACAAAGACGACTGGATACTGGGGCAATGGCTGTCATCACGGAGAAGGAAGAGAAAGGGGCACACAAGCCATGGAGGAGGGGTGAGAGGGCGAAGGCATAGGGAAGTGCAGAGTGAAGAAAGTCAGAAGGAGGAAGAAGGGCTGAAAGTGTTTCCTGTTGAGAGAGCAGCGGGGATCCGGATCCGAAGTAACACAGGGCCTCAGGGTGTTCCAGAAGGCAGAGGCAATGTAAGCACACTCAGAGAGGGAAACGACTACCAGGGCTACTGTGGAGCACTAAAGACGACATTAGTGGCCCACAGAGGGAAGTGCAGTAACTGCGGAGGGAGGCAGATTTATGACATTTGATTCATTAACGTGCAGCGCTGGGCGGAGTGCAGCACATACACATGTAGAGGAGACAAGGTTCTTGCCCTTGTGAAACTGCCAGGTGTGTGCATAAAAATGTGGTTAAGCCAGAGTGAGGTCCAGAATGTTCTGGAGGCTTTCAAAAGCATTCTTGGAGAAGTTAGGAGTCTTTGAGGATGGGTAGGATGCCCACAGGCAGACATGGAAAAAGGACAGCCCAGAGGAGCCAAGACCTTTTCAGAACCACTTAAGAGAAAGGCTATGTTCTGGAATGAACAGTTTTTTTCAGAAGGCTGGGACCAAAAAGGCGGGAGCTTGTTGGGAAGACAAAGCCAAATACCTCTGAAATAGAGAGGAAAGAGGCATCGAGAGACCGAGACTAAAGATACAGGTACAACAAAGCTCGGTGCAATGGTTACAAGAGACGTGGGAGCTAGGGGAAGGGTAAGGCCTGCACAAGGGTGGAAGGTGCGGGGAGCGGCTCATGATGGTGATGGTGATAACACAGGCACCTTTCAGAAGCAAAGCAGGGCACGGTTTTCACGGAAGCTTATGATGATCCCTAAAGGGAGGACATCATCTCCATTTGGAGACAATAGAGAGGATTTTGATAGCACAAGGAGCAAAAAGATACTGGATCAACTTCTCTCTTTTTCAACAGGGTCTCCCTATAGCCCCAGCTGGGAACTCTCTATGTAACCAGGCTGGCCTTGATTTCATAGAGACCTACCTGCCTGCCTCTGCTTCTGCTGGGACTAAAGGCGTGGGCTACCATGCCTGGTTAACATCTCTTACATATTTATTTTTAAAAAGGTGTGTGGGGGAGGTTGGAGATGTAGCTCAGTGGTAGAGTGGTAGAGCACTTGCCTAGCGTGCAGGAAACCCTGGGTTCAATATCTACAACAGAAAAAAAATACAAACAAACCCACCGAGGATACGAGAAAACCTCCTCCCTCTTCACCAAAGCCTGCTGAATGCTCTGGTGATGGTGATACTTTGAACCATCTGTTTTGTCAGTCCGGATTTTTACACTTAGAGATTTCCTCAGCAAAAAGTGTTCCTCTATAACCACTGACTGCTCAACAGTGATGTGAATAAAGAGAAGGTACTTACTAAAGTTGTCTTTGTATCTGTGTCTATAGAGCTAACAGCAGAAAGCTTTTAAAAACCAGCCTAACTGTCCACAGATGGATGAAGTGAGAAAGAAAACATGGTCTACATACACAATAAAAAACTATTTAGTATTAAAATGGAAGAGAATTCTTAATTTGCAACAATACAGAGAGCCCTAAATACCATTCTGTTAAGTGCAATAAGCTAGGCACTCACATGCGGAACGTGAAAACGGAGCAGAGACTGGACTGTGGTTTCTGTGGACTGTGGGCAGGGACTGGGAGACGCTGCTCCAAGAGCACAAATTTTCAGTCAGGGGCCAGCAAGACGGCTCAGGAGGTAAATGTGCTTGCCAAGCAAATATGATAATCAGAGCTTGATCCCTGAAGCCCATGTGAAAAGTTGGATGTGGTGCTGAACATCTGAAACCCTAGCACCCCTTTGGCAAGATGGGAGGCAGAGACAGAATCACCACGAAGCTTGTGGGCCAGCTACCCTGGAGGGCATGGGGCAGCAGAAACAAGAGAGACTGCCTTGACAAAGGGGAAAGGGGAAAACAGGCTTCTGAAAGTTGTTCTCTAACCACTACACACACAAATAATTTTTTAAAAGTTTTCAGTTGCAGCCTGGCATGGTGGTGCACACCTTTAATCCCAATGCTCGGGAGGCAGAGGCAGGCGGATCCTCTGTGAGTTCAAGACCAGCCTGGTCTACAGAGTGAGTTCCAGGCAGCTGGAGCTACAAGGAGACCCTGTCTCAAAAGACCAAAAAAAAAATTTTTTTTTCAATTACATAGAATAGACATCTGTTGTACTATATGAATAACAATGCAATGTAGACTTAAAGCGTCAAGAGATTTTTTTTAAAATGTTCTCAATATGTGAGGTAACACAAATGTGAACTAACTTGGTTTAGCCATTTCACAACATATACCTAGCTCAAAGCATCATGCTCTATGTCATAAATAAGTATACTTTTTTATTTATTTTTGTTTTATGTGTATGAGTGTTTTACCAGCATGCACGTAAGTGCACCTAGATATACAAACCTGCAGAGGTTAGAAGAGTGGGTCAGATACCCTGGAATTGGAGTTACAGATGGTTGTTAGCACCATGTGGGTGTTGGGAACCAAACCCTGGTCCTCTGCAAGAACAGCAGTGGTCTTAACCACTGAGCCATCTCTCCAGCCCCAATATGAACATTTTTTTGTCAGCCAAAAAAATTCAGTAGAAGCAATTTCCTATCCTAATTCTCTCACATAAGAAACCATTTTCTTTTGTCTTTTTATCTCTTAATTTTGTTCTTCCTCTGGGCCACAGATTGGTGTTTTGAAGGTTTGGAGGTGCTGACTGAAAGTCCAACAAAGGCAGGGGAGGAAGGGAAACGAATCTAGGCAGCGAAGAGCTTCCCCACACATCCTTCTTGGAGTTACCTGAATGATGGTGGCAGAGGATGAGGAGTCCCCTTCCTCTTCCAGGTCCTTGTCATATTTCCAGCGTAGAGACCAAGACACAGAGGCTGGCTCCACTTTCTTATGTCCATTCTAAGACAGTGATCAGTTGGTCAGCAAAGGTAAGCATTTCCTGTTATCCTAACCAGCATGTTCTTCAGCTCTTTCATGTAAGACTCAAGTTACTGGGCAATTCAGCCACAGGCTCTTCTACCCCTGCCATCCCATATATTTCTCTCACTAAATCATGTTTCCAAATGTGAATGCATTTTCTGAGCCTATAAAAATTAGACATTTTTCTTTCATAAAGAGTTAAGCTCAAGTCCCACAAAGCGAAATTTTCAGTCACTTAGGAATTTACTATCATGGCAAATGTAATCATAAATGCTGTCTTTAAAATAACAATCTGGCTCAGCAGTTTAGAACACTGGCTGCTCTTGCAGAGGACCCAAGTTGGATTCTCATCACCCACAGGGCAGCTAACAATTGTCTGCAACTCCAGTTTCAGGGGATCTGACACCTTTCGACTGCTATGGGCATTGCATGACACAGGTGCACTTACACACATGCAGGTAATATATTCATACACATAAAAAATAATAAAATATTTTAAAGTAACAATCTGTTGAGTGTAAGAAAAAAAAATCTTCAAAACCACTAATCACAAGAATGCAAACTAAAACCACAGCATGGAGCTGGGGGTATAGGTCTGTGATAGAACCTGTCAGCATGTGAGGGGCCCTGGGCTAGATCTCCAGTCCTGCAAAATGAATACTAAAATAAATAAGCAAGTCAATCTACAATGAGCTACCACTTTATACCTATTACAATGACCACCACCAAACAGATGGAGAATGCTAGGTGCTGGGAAGGATGTGGAAAAATGGAACTCATGGACATGATTGAGGATTGTAAACTAGCAAAGCCACTATGGAAACACGTGGGGGTGCCTCAGAAAATTAAAATAGAATCACTACATGTTCCAGCAGTTCCATAATCGGTTATACATCCAAAGGAGATGAAATTGATATGTGAAGAGATGTTTGCACTCTTGTGTTTACTACAGCATTACTAGCAAAACATGGAATAAACCCAAGTGCCCATCAATAGGTGCATGGATAGAGAAAATGTGGTGCAATGGAATGGAACACTATTTTGCCATAAAAAAGCAGGGGATTCAACCACTTGTGACAACGTGGATAAACCAGGATAACATTATATTAAGACAAATAAACCAGGCACAGAAAGATAACCATGGTTGGTATCACTTAAATGAGAAGTATAACAGAGGTGAACTTGTAGAAACAGAGTAGAATGCTGGTCAGTGAAGAGAAGGGGCTAGAGAGATGGCCCTCAAGGATGCAAACATCCAGTTAAGCAGGAGGGTTAAATTCAAGAAAGGTATTATACATCATGGCAACTGTAATTCAGAACAATATACTGTATACTTGAAAAGTGCTTACACAGATGTTGTGTCCTCATCACAAAAATGGAAGTATTAAGGAAATATGTACACCAATTAGTTTGATTTAGCCTTACATTGTGAGAGTGTATGTGGCACAATATCATGTTGTAGATCATAAATATTAGTGACCATGTGTTTCTGTTGTCAAAGAAACAAGTCCTATAATATCAGCTCAGAAGCACATAAATGTCTGAAATGAAAACACACACAAATCCTCTTTTGGGCCCTGATATCTCCTCCATTCCCACAACTCTTTCTGCCATAAAGAGACATAATTAGATTGTGAGGTTGTCTGGTGGTCAGAGAATATAGTTACCTGTCCTCTCCCTCACCCTCCAACTCAGGTCTACCACATCCTAGTGATATTCAGTAGAATAACAGATCTGCTCGGTGTGACAATGGAGCTATGAAACAATCTCCAAATGCGCATAAAAATGTCTTATGGTTACATGTGAATCATAAAAACTACAGGTTGTTGCTCATTTTCTTCTCTGAGTATAAAATGCATTATAACTTTAGTTTTTAAAGTATGAAATGGAAATTGACACCAAGAAGGTCAACCGTAAATGTCTCATTCAACCAGTTACAACGAAGCAGTGAGAACTGGCGTTATTATCTGCTAACACAGCTTACGTCCTTGACTGCTGCTTTAGCACAAAAAAGTGACTCACATATGGAAAAAATTATCTTCTGAAAACCACACCAAGCAGCATACTCTTAAAACTTCAGAGAAAATATTCAGAAGTCAGAGAACTTTGTCTTCTCCTTAAGCCAACAAGCACCCCTAAATTATATTCATCCTACTTTACATGACACTTGAACATTAATGACTTGAGAGAACTACTTCAATCCACTTTTAAAATATCAATTAAAAAAAATCAACATTAACTTTAAAGTCCTTAGGTTTCTATTCACTGTAAGATCTTTGCTTTGACTTCATCTAGAGAGTTGGTCCTAGCCAACTTTAACAAGAAAATTATTTTTCTTACTTCACTCTTTAAGGAGTTTTCTTCTGCTTCCTCCTCCACAGCTGGCAGGAAAGACATGGAACCCTTTCTGGTAAACTGAAAGACAGTGCAAGAGAACCAGCAGTCAGGCTGCAGACTAGCATGGTGAGATCCTGGCCTGGTTGCATTTTTATGTCGTTAATTCTTCACTCTGACCAGGACGTCCTCCCACGCACACAGCCTCTGGGCTTTGTGCCTTCAGCTCTTCCAGCTAAATATCCTGACTGTGGAATCTCTTTCATTTGTCTTGCCCCACACCCCACCCCAAACCCCTGGAGTATGCATCATTGAAATGGAGTGGGCTTGGAGAGGTGCTGGATCACTTTTGAGTCTGCAATGGGTGACTATTCCACAGGAGGATACTTCAAAGGTAGTTGCCACTCACCTACCTGGGGAATTTCATAAGCTTGTTTTTAAGTAACTCAGGTATAAGAACTCTGTCTGGGTTGGGTCCAGAACAGACACACCCTGAGGATTTGTATTCACTAATAAACAACCTAGAGTGGAGTGTTTCCACTTAAAAAATTCCTTTACCATGGGTCAAAGACAAATGCCACAGGCTGTTCGGGTGGGAAGTATTACCAGTGGAATGTGGGACCGGCAATAAACTAAGCCATGCCTACCTTCCAGTCTGAAGCATCTTTCTCCGCCTCTCCACCCTCCTCTGACACGCCTGCTGAGGGCCTGTCTCCCTCATCCTGCTGTTCTTTCTTCAAGTACTGGTGGAGGTTTAAAACAGCTGCCTTCAAGTCCACCAACAGGTCTTCTTTTTTCTGGTTCAGAATCAGAATCTGCTTTTCCACCCCTTCGATCTCTCCCTGTGCAGGAAGAGTTGTGGGCATCGTTTGAAGGAAGTTGGGGTGGCCTTCTGATGCTCACAGGAGTCAGCTTCCTTGAGGACAAGGGATACCAACGGTCCTTGTCCTAGGCTATTCTGTGGCAAAGTCAGCAGCTAGTCTCTGCCACAGCATTGCTCCTCCCCCCAGATGCATTTCCAAAGCCCTTGTGCAGGGTTTATAGCCTGTAAGGCTCCTTAGCCCCACAAAGACCTTGTAAATCAGAATGTCTGGGAGTTGAACAAAGCTTGGTAACTTGTAACAAGGTCCAGAGGTGACTGATGTACAGCCAGGGTGGGGAGCCAATGCCATAGTGGCTAACCACAGGAGTCAGAGAACCAGAATACCCTGGCCAAGAACCATGAGCCTACACTTTGATGAATTTATACTTCCCATTTTGTGCATAGAGTATTGAAAATACCCATTCCCAGAAGACATGTTCCCGTTTCTCCAGGAAAGCCTTAAACATACAAGTGTTTGAGAACCTCTAACATAAAATAAAATCAGATAATTTTTTATTTCCTTTAAAGATTTCTTTGATATTACCAAATTGTTCATTTTTTTCTATAGTCCAAGCATCCTATAAAATGTAATCAACAGGGGCTGGAGAGATGGTTCAGTGGTTAAGAGCACTGGCTGCTCTTATAGAGGACCTGGGTTTAGTTCCCAGCACCCACATGGTAGCTAACATCTGTCTTTAACTCCACTTCCAGGGGATCTGACACCCTCTTCTGGCCTCTGTAGGCATTCCATACAAAGTATGCTTGTCTTACATACAGGTAAAATTACTCATAAAAAAAATAAAATCTATCTACCATCTCTATGCATTCAATATTAATAAAATCATTAATTTGTGTGGGTGGGGGGCAAGAGGTCAACCTCTGAACCTCTGATATTGTTCCTTACAAGCCACCCATCTTGTTGAGAAAGGGTCTCGCTTGCCTAGAAACAACAGCTTGCATTAACCAGGCACAGACAGGCACCAAGTCATCATCTGTAGCCTTGTGGGAGCCATGGTCCCTGCGTAAAGATCATCTCCACAATGTTGCTAAAGGTCAGCGGCCTTTTTCACTGTGTTAACATTTACAGTGAGGACACAAAAGTGATGGTGTGTAAATCTACGGGCATCGTCTATGAATTACAGGCAGGAACACCAACTATTTATAGTAGGATAAGCATGCCAGTCTCATTTGTAAGTGTCATTGATAAGGATATGCACCTAGGGCTCAGCAGTAGAGCACATGCCTGGCGTGGGAAATGCCTTGTGTTCAGTTCCTAGCATCACACACCCAAAAAAAGTACTTTAATATTCCAGTGACAAAATGGGAGGTGTGTGCAAGCATTTTGCTGTGTCCCAACTACAACGGTAGAAGTACTTCCAGGAATGTGTGGACAGTGAGCTGAACCACCTCCTCCCTATTTTTCATAGACTGCTATTTTTAAAAGATGTACTTATTTTTATGTGTATGTAGATTTTTGCCTGAATGTATGTATGTGCACCACAGGTGTGCAGTGCCCATGGAGGCCAGAAAAGGGTGCCAGACTCACTGGAACTGGAATTACAGATGATTTGATGAAGGTGCTAGAAAGTGAACCCAGGTCCTCTAGAATTCTGGAGCAGCAGGTTCTCTTAATGACTGAGCCATCTCACCAGCCTCAGAACACTATTTTACAGGAAATAAAATATCCACTAAAGTATACTTCTATGCCTAAATACACTATTTCAAGATTTTTCTCAAGAAATAGGTGTTATACATTGACTGCTGAAATGTATGAAATTTGGAAGATATATATGACTCAGTGTAACAATATTTTGTAAATGATCCAGCTGACATTACAGAGTTACACGTATTTAGGAGATTCCTTTACAGTCAAGACATACTGACAAAGCGACTGTAAGAAAGGAAGAGTCCATTGGCATGGCTTCAAATCCTGCCTATAATTTCTATGTGTTGAGTTTTAGTGTAATTTTTTTAAAGTCCACAATTCTTCAAAAGGGCACTAAATTATTCCTCTCTTTTCCAAGTACATATTTTTGAGAGGTTGCATTATCTTTATATTCTTCAAACAAAACAGGTTCCATAAACAGAATGCAAAAGTAGAATCTATGCCAGGCTTGAGCTGCATAGTGACATCATGAGACTCTGCCTCCAAAGTTAAACAGAGAATTCAGCTATCTTCTACTAAGTACAAAAATTACAGAGATTTGCAAAAATCTGAAACAGTCTGTATTAATTACTTTTCTGTTGCTGTGATAAAACACCACAGCCATGGCAACTTTTAGAAGGAAGAGTTTATTGGGCTTATGGTCCCAGAGGGAACACATTGTCAAGCATGCACAGGAAGCAGAGACAAACTGGAAACGGGTCAAGGCCATGAACTCTCAAAGCCCACCCCTGGTGACATACCTCTTCCCATAAAGTCACACCTCCTAAACCTCTGCAAACAGCACCACCAACTGGGGACAAAGTATTCAATACTTGGAGCCTCTGGGGGACATTCTCATTCAAACCACCACACAGGCGCTCTTCTCACTTTCTGTTTGAGAAATATAACTAACAATAAAAATGTTATCTATGCTGGGATTAGGATGGGCAGAGTGTTTGCCTATCATGCATGAGGCCCCAGGTTCAATTCCCAGCACTACATAAACAGGGTGTAGTGATGCACACTTGTAATCCCTGCACTTAGGAGGTGGAGGCAGGAGGACCAGAAGATCATGATCAGCCTCAGTTACACAGACAGTTTGAGGCCAGCCTAGGATACAAGATATCCTGTTTCTGGGGAAAAAAAAAAAAAAGTTAGCTTATTCTAACCTGTAATGTGTTCATTATTGTTATTTTAAATTAAACTAAATGAATACTTTCAGATTTCTGAGTCTTCAATCTTTTAACTGTAGATACGTAAAAAGCTCATTGTGTGTTCAGCATTTTCATACTACCAAGTGGTCACACCAAGCCTGCATTATTGACTCCGTGTTAAACGCTATGTCACCTTGATCCTCATGGTGCTTCACCTTTCATTTTAAGCAAGGTGCCTTCAATCTTCAAGCTGGCAAGTGGCAAAGTCTTATTCTCAGCACTACACTAACTTCCTGCATGAGTCACTCAGACAGTGGGAAAAAAAAATGTTGCTCTCATATCCTTGACCTACATCATGTTGTTAATACAGAATTCAAAAACAAAGACTAAAAATGTCCTACCATCAAGGGTTTTTACAGAAAGTAGAAATAAAATCTGGCATACAGAGCCTTCATTATAACAGTGTTCAGAGTTGTATCACCCCTGAAGCCTACACTGCCTGCTCCTCATTCCCAAACAGTAACCAGAGAGTCAAGCTGTCTAGACATCCCGCACTACATCAGCCTTTTGGGTATAAGAGCAAATGCAGACCAAGATGCACTGTGCCCCCAAGAAGCCCCAGGTGAGGAATCAAGAATGGAAACCTATCCAGTATCTGGGATTGTACTAAAGTTTATGATTTTTCCAGGTCATAATGATGATGCCACATAATCACTGATGTCATGAAGAAGGGAAAGTGGTTTCAGTTGGAAAAAAGACATCTAGCATACCCCTGTAGCACTACACAGATTCTAGACATCAAGGATAAAATGAGTGTCTATGGGATGAAGTGACGGATGAAGGGGACATACCTGTACCGCTGGCAAGTCGGCAGCTTGCTCTGCTGACATATGTTCAAGGGAGCACTCAGCTGCATAATTGTCTAAGATCTGTTTCAGATTCTCTGTCTCTTCATCACATTCAGCGGTCTGTTTTATGACTACCTATAAAATAGCACCCACCCCCAAAAGAAGAGTCATTATGATCTAAGCAGTACATTAATAGGCTATTTCCATTATCTATCTAGTTCCAGTCAAAGGCAAAAAATAAGCACCCACATGGGTTTTGATTGGAAATACACAATCTCCTTTTACTAAAATATTTTAAATTACATTTTTTTTTATTTATTTCTGTGGGGAGCGCATGTATGTGGGCATGTACGTGCCACATTGCATGTGGGGAGGTTGGAAGACAACCTGTCCTTTCACCATATGCATCCTGGGGATCAAACTTCAGTTGTCAGGCTTGGTGGCAAGTGCTTTTAACAGCTGAGCTATCTTACTGGCTCCCAGAATATTCTTTCACTCTATATATTTGTATTCTAAATTAGTACAAATTCTAAATATAGTTACATTTTAAATGTTAACCTATATTTATTGAAAATATAGAGGACAATGTCTGCAAGGCCAGTGCCTGATCTTGTTCTACTAGATGACAGGTCACCTTGGGGACGGTGTGGAGTACAAGGCTAATTAGATACAGCTTTCCTTTTATATAGTTCCAGTCTGGTGGGCTTATGCTGTGAAGCATTTTATAGTACATTAATATAAAGTTTCTACATTTTATTCAATTATTGGTATATCACATACATAATTTTCAACTTATGATTATTGTATGTGTGTGCATGATGTGTGTGGACATGTATATGCCCATGTGGAAGTCAGAGGACAACTCTGTGGATTCAGTTCTTTCCTTCCACCTTTACACGGGTTCCAGGAACTAAACACTGATCACTAAGCTTGCACAGTAAGTGTCTTTACCCACTGAGCCATCTCACAAATCCACATATATACCATTTTAATGCAAAACCCATGCGTTACTGTCTACATAGAATGGTAACACACCTGACCATGTGAATGAACAGGGCACATGACTCGATTGATGGTAAATTATCCTAATGCAGATTTATCCTCCCATGCTGCCCTTTAGGGTCAGTGATGTGCATTTTATGAGTAAAGTTTGAAGCTTTCAGAGCAATATGAATTCCAGAGCAATCTGAGTTTGCAAAATAAGGCAAAACTAACCAGAACAGTTCATGGACTCTAATGCTGAGGAGTAGAGCTTAGACATATGCATAGACTAAACAAGTATGATGAACGATTCAAAAGCAGGTCAACATATTTCTTTGGTGGGCTTCATATTGAAGCAAAATGTTTTTTGAAATGAGAGTTTCTGACCAGCCCATAATTCTTCTTCATAGTTTACTATTTAACCATATTTTAGCTACAGGCTGGAAATGCATAACTATGTTCAGTGCACGTATCTGTCCCCCACGCTCAGCCCTGAACTGCATCCCATTTCTACGCACAAGCATTATTTGTCTTATTTTCTACAATAAGGGCACCTGTCATACTGCAAGTGAAAATAAAGGACTGTTCAATATGCTAACGGAATGAAAACTCATTACCTACGGCTGATATCGCTTTGAAATACACAAGGGAGACACGGGATTTCCACCAGCAGAGTAAGACAGAACATTTTAGCAGCACAGTTTGATATCTAACCTGGCAAAACATAATACCATCTTCTGTCATCCACCTTTCATCTTGCAAAGCAATCACTCTAAGAACAGCTCAGAATGTTATTTTTTTCTCGACCAGGAGCCCATAAGGCACAAAGATTAAAAATAGATGAAATTTGATATATTTTCTTGACTTACAGACTATTAAAAAATGGTACACTGAGTGCTAGGTCATTTTTCTCTCTGTGGGTGTTAAGAAATGACATCAGGCCAGGGGACACAGGAGCTAAAATTCAAACCAGGAAGTACAGGATCTGCTAACTTTAGGGGGAGAGAGTACCCAACTAAACGTGAAAGAAATTTTAGAAGGAATACAACATAATAGCTTTTAAAAGCAACAGGCAAGTTGTCTACCAAGAGGGTGATTGTCTGTGGAATTCAAGATTCACTGAACGAGTTTCTGTTCTTATGGGAGTGGCTGTTGACCTAGGAATATAAACTAAGGAAAAGGTAATTTCCAATAAATAATAATGATTCTGATCTCAAATCAGAGACTGGTGACATAACAAAACTTACAGGGGAAACCCTCCTGACAAAGGTGGAAAGATGTTATCAGAAGGAAGAGATGGAGAAATGATAGAGTTCAAAAACTGGAACACTTGCCTTATTACAAATGAACTAACCTTGGCACAATTTAACTCTGGGGCCTTTCCTTTAACCCTCTGGCATGAGTCTTGCTGAGAGGGGAAAGGGCCTAGGCTACCCATGTCACCTGCTGGAGCATGAATAGAGCTAATTCACAGGAAGTGACTGAGGCTGACGTGGAGACTACTCTGTCACGCTCACTTTATGGGTCTGTGGACTCCAGAGGCAGCACATGCCTCGATCAGGTTTGAATTTTCTTCCCCTGCATTTTACCCACACAGGCCTTTGCTACCTGCAGAAATTAAGTAGACCATAACTATGTTTTAATGCCCTCAGGCAGAGCAAAGGTAAGAACTAAGAAAAATAACTTTAGCCCCATTTGGGAAAAAAGACAGGCTTATTTATTTATTCATTCGTTTGCTTGCTTCTAAAATCAAACTCCACCTCCTAGATGATGTCTACTTTGAATTACACTTGAGAACAAAACCAACTTTTGCGGAACATTTTCATCCAATAAGTTGGCTGTCATCATGAAACACTTACCTTCAATAACTCATTTTGTTCCTGAGTCACATTTTCCAACAGTTTCACATCTTGTAAAAGCTGGCTTGTCCTCTGAAACACAGGCAAAGGGTTTGTTCCTGTCTGGGGTAACCTCAGTTCCACTTGGTAAGACATGATTTCAGCAATGGTTTTCTTCATGGGGCGGATGTTTTCAAGGATGATCTTAAGGGCAGAAGCACAGTATATAAATGAAAACAAAAACAAAAATCACAAAGTCACCAGTAAGTGTAACTAAAATATTTATCATTTAATCTTAGTCTTTAATGCACAGCCTCAAATTTTTTTTTTTTTTTTGGTCTTTTTGAGTCAGGGTCTACCTGTAGCCCCAGCTGGCCTGGAACTCACTATATAGACCAGGCTGGCCTTGGACTCACAGAGATCTGCCTGCCTCTGCCTCCCGAGTACTGGGACTAAAGGTGTGTGCCACCACACCTGGCTGTGCAGCTTCAATTTTTAAAGCATTTCCAACTTCAAATTGAAAAGCACTATAGGATAGCTAAAAGCCTTAAGAAAGACTGTCTGGGTGCTGGAGAGATGGCTCAATGGTTAAGATGACCAGCTGCTCTTGTAGAATTTAGTTCCCAGCACCCACATGGCAGCTAACAACCATCTGTAACTCCAGTTCTAGGAGATCCGATTCCCTCTTCTGACATCTTTGGGCAGTGCATGCATGTGCTGCACTTACATATATGCAAACAAAACATTTATACACATAAAATAAAAACACTTAAAAAAAAAAAAAAGAATGTCTGGGGAAAGACTAACTCACCAGTATTACCCCAGCATTTGGACAGCCCTGTCCCTAATGCCTTCTCTTATCCCCTATGGAACTGTGATTCAGTTCTGTATGCTGTCATTAGGCACTATGCACAGAAGGGCAGGTCCTAGAGTTTACTTTTGAAGCAGCTGCATGCAGCCCAGAGCTTTTTATAGTAAGTTCTTAAAAGTTGCTTACTGAATTGAACAGATGTGTCTGGCCAAATTTCATGAGTCCCAGGAATACATTTATATATTTTTTTAATAAGTCTGATCCATAAGAAATTAGAAAAGATGATTCACTTTAGCATATATATAATCTCATTTAATCCTTGCCACCATTCTGAGAGGAAAGTATTCTAACCTCCACTGCATAAAAGTAAGGAATCGGGTTCCCAGATGTACAAAGATTCAATTAAGTTTAGGCTGCAAGAGTCAAGGGTAGGATTAGAACCCAGGCCTGAGATATCTCCAAGTGCATGCTCTGCACTGGGTTGAATAGGAAGGGAAGTATGTTTACTGAAACATACTAAGCTTAGAACCTGTTCTTAGCTCTTTGCAAACAGTAACCGGCCAAGCTAATGATCTCAATACCTACGCACAGAGATGAAAGAGAATCAAGGAACATTTCAAAGACACTCAGCTGGTAAGCAGTGTCATGGGGCCAGAGACCCATTGCAACCTCAATTAGGTATTCATGGTCTGAGGAAGGCCAAGTTTGAATAATAAGTTAATCCAACAGGAAAACTACCTTTATACACACAGCACTATGAACATGATTTAAAGGATTTCCATGTGCATTTATGGCTGTTTCCCAAACTTATTTTGATATGACTCTAAAACATCTAATACTTCCACATCACACCCTATGACTATTTTTGGACAGACATAGTGTTTCGAGGAAATGTGTTCAACAATGACCCACACATACCTCCCCATGCTTAAGATGTTCTTCAGGTAAGAAGTCAAATATTTCTTTGGATAATAAGATAGCTTTGATTTTTGCAACTTTTTTCTCCATGGATTTTACTTCAGATTCGATAGCAACCACATCCTAGAAGTTCAGAAACAAGAACACACTCATGGACTATATTTGTGGATTAATAATCTGTAAAACATTATTTATATTGCTATGAATTCTATTTTCACAGTTAACCAAAGAATATTGACCACTTACACCTTTTAAAAACTAGGTACCACACAAATATAACTGCATAGCTTTTAATAAAAATATTAGCCTATACTATGCTAGGAATCAACTATGCTAGGAATCATAGTGATTAAAGAAAATCATGGAGAAAATTCAATTACTCATGAGAACAAAGGCTGATAGGTTTCCAAACCAACTTTGAAAATAAACTCTTGGTTATCTACAAACTCTTTAAATTCATCTTTGGAATGTGCTTAAACACCTCAATGCAAATGGGTCTGATATTTTAGAAATTCTCATAACTTTAAGTAAAGTGATAAATTCCTCTTAAGAAACACACAAGGAGTTGGAAAACTGACATAATTTTCTTACAAACCCCCTAATAAGCCCCTGTCAAGCAGAATGCTACTGAATTACTTCATAACCTACTGGTATTAACCTAAACTCTAGATTACTTTTATAGTGGTTAATTCTATCAATGTCAATGTCCATAAATGGGCCAAGAATCTTAAAGTAAAATGCTATTAAAGAAGTCAAAATATGTGAACAAAACTTACACACTGAAGTACACACCACTGTCTGGGAGCTCTCAGACTTAAACTGAGAGCTCAATACAGAAACAATGTCGCAATAAAATGATACAGTTGACAAGGGAGGTTTTGAAAAATGACACAGGAAGGTTGAAGATTTCAAATTATAGTAATTTGGAGCTACTCAATAATGAAAAACAAAAAACAAAAAAAACAAACCCAACTTACTAATAGAGTACTGAGTACAGTAACTACTTGAAGGAACATATCTAAATTATGAAAAGTGAAATTACATTGAAACATATTTTCTTCATCTACTATTTAAAGAAGCTCTGATGAATTACAAAACATGTCTCAGTCATATCCATCCATTGTAGGAACCAGGACTCGAGAGATGGCTCAAGGGTTAAGAGTGCTTACTGTTCTTGCAGACGACCCAGGTTTTGTTGCCAGCACCCACATGGTGGACCACAACTACCTATAATTCCAGTTCCGGGGGATCTAATACCCTCTTCTGGCCTCCATGGGCACCAGGCACACATTAGTGTGCAGGCAAACACTCATACACATAAAAGTAAATAAATCTTTTTTAAAATCTGTAGAATCACATTACAATTTTGAAAAAGCTACAGTATCCAAGAACTGACTCCAAGAATTATTATTACCTAAAGTGAAACAAGTGTAGTATAGGGAATGTCACTCAGAAAGAAGAGTTATTGTCTTTACTATGTGACTAAGCAAATGCCTCATGTAAATATCTAAAAACAGTAAAATTACTTAACAATCCATGTTCTGACATAGCACACCCTCAAACATTTGCTATTGGTGAATGAAATCTTGGGAGCTTATCTGTTTTAATCCCCTCTTTCCCAATCAGAACTTTTAAATCAACAAAATCTCTCTTTGACAAAGAGAACAGAGAGCTTATTTATCAGGCTTCTTTGGTCCTGAGCTAGACCATTTCTAAGTTAAGAATGGGGATATGCATCTGGCTTCAGTTCTACAGGTTTCAAAGCAAAGAAAAATACAATCCAAGAAATACCATCAGAGCTGGAGAGACGTCTCAGTGGTTAAGAGCACTGATTGATCTTACAGAGGACCCCGGTTTGATTCCTAGCACCAACATAGTGGCTGACCAACCATCCTAACTCCAGTTCCAAGGGATCTGATGCCCTTTTCTGCCCTCCTCAGGCACTGCATGACAGAGATACACCTACATACATACAAGTAATACACTCATACACATAAAATAAAAATAAAATATTTTTTAAAGGAATAATGGGGCTGGAGGTTAAATGGGGCTTAGAGGTTAAGAGTACTGACTGCTCTTGCAGAGGACCCGGGTTCGAGTCCCAGAACCCACATGGTGACTAAAAATCATCTGTAACTTCAGTCCCAGGGTATCCGATGTCCTCGTCTGACCTCCACAGGCATGGCATGACACAGATGCACTTATACGCATGCAGGTAATACACTCATAACATAAAATAAAAATGATAAATAAAACATAAAATAAAAAGAAATAACATCAATGAAAAAATGTATCTACTCAGAGTGTTTTCATAGGATTAAGGCATGGTTTGTAGTATACTTTGCCAAATGAAATGTAAAACGAAAAGAGGAAGCCACACCTTGATGGTGCCAACTTACATCTGCCATTCGCTGGGCATGTGGAAGGGTTTCCATTATTTGCTGTTGTAAAGCTGCTACTTGACTACTTAACTCTTGAATGGACTGGACTAAGTCATCTGTTTCAAAAATGATTGAAAGATCTTCTAGATCCATGAAAATTGAATGTAGAAGACTGTGCTTTTGTTCAGAATCTTCCAGAGCCATCTAGACAGAGAAGGAAGAGAGGGAGAAACATCAAAGTGATGAAAGAAGTTGATAAAGTTCAGAGCCCCAAAAGTTTTAACTTTGTCTCAACATTTCAAACTCCTGGTCATTTCCATTTTCAGAATGAAATCATTGCACACTGTATAGTAAAGGGAGTGAGTGACATCAGTGTCTGCCTGTCAGGCCATGATGCACAGGCTGCGTATCCGTAACTGAAATGCCTGGACCCAGAAGTTGTTTGGATTTCAAGTTGTCTTTTTTAGATTTTAGAATATTTGCATATACATAGAGATAGCCTGGGACAAGGCTCAAGTTTAATATTCTATTTATTATTCTTATTTCCTGTGTATGAGTGTACTGCCTGCATGTGTGTAAGTGCACCTGTGTCATACAATGCTCACAGAGGACAGAAGAAGGTGTCGGGTCTCCTGGAACTGGAGTTAGGATGGCTGTTAGTCACCATGTGGGTGCTGGGAACTGAACCTGGGACCTCTGCAAGAGCAGTCAGTGCTCTTGACCACGAGCCATCTCTCCAGCCCCAAGGTCCAAGTGTTAAATGTGAAATTCATTTATGTTTTGTGTATACCATATACACATAGCAAGAAGGTAATTTCATAGACTGTTTCCAACTCATTTGCATTCAGCTATTGAATTTTCTACTTGTGACATCATGTTGGTGCTAAAAAAGTTTGAGATTTGGAACATTCAGCTTCTGGGTTAGAAATGCTTAATTTACATACAGTGAACAATATATTTGGTCTTTATCTCCAATTACAAATTAGGGTGCTTCTAAAACCATTCAAATTTTCTGTAAGATAGAGGCGGGGACTGTCTTTGCTCATAAGCCCTTTTAAAACGCATCCTCTTTTTCTTTGGTTACCCCTTCCTTTCTTTTCCTATATTTGGGATGAAGGGGCTAGGCATCAGACTCAAGGTCTTGTGCATACTAGGCAAGCACTCTGCCACTGTAAATTTAGAATTTTTAAAGTATCTCAGTCATGTACTGGAAATATTCAGCTTCTAATTATAGTTTTTGAGTTATTCCATAAAAATAAGTAACAAGAGAAAGAACACATGCTTATATAAGCAGAATTCTAATCAAAATCTCTAATACCAATTAAATAGTTCAGAATTTTATATCGTTCTTATTCAAAATTCTAATAGGCAAACTTACAGGAGATCAGAACTTCAATCCAGTGCCTTTACCATAATATCATGTACAATAGCAAAGGCATAAAATAATTAGAGATTAAATTTAACAATATACACACGAGACCTATACATTGAAAAGCACAAAATACCGCTGAGAAAATTAAAGATCAAAATAAAGATATATTTCTTTGAAAAGTACAATTAAGATACTAATTATCTCTTCAAATTGATCTACAGATTTAATGTAATCCCACTCAAAATTCTAACAAATGTCTAAGCAGAAATTGACAAGCTATTTCTAAGATTTATATAGAAATACAAAATAAGATTAGTCAGCAAACAAATAAACAACAAAACAACACTTTGAGGAGGGGCCAGTGCAAGGGTTCAGGAGAAAAGGCACCAAGTCTAAGCTTGAAGACCTGATCCATCCCAGGGATCCACATCTTGGAAGGAGAGAACCAATTCCTAGAAGTTGTCCTCTGACCTCTACCCACACCCATGGCACACACCCCCACCCACATACACACATGCACACAAAATAAATAAAATGTAATAAAAAACAACTTTGAGGACAGGCGAGATGGCTCAGCGGGTAAAGGTGTGTGCTTCAGAGCCTGACGACCCGAGTTCAGTCCCTGGAACCCACACGGTGGAAGCTGAGAACTGACTCCTGCAGGTTGTCCTGTGACCTTCACACACAAGGACATGCCCACAAATATAATAAAATAAAAAAACTTTGAAAAGTGATGGAGCTGTAGCTCAGTTAAAGAGTGCTTGCCTAGCATGCATGAAACCCTGGGTTTGATCCCCATAACTGCACAAAATCAGGCACGGTAGCCCATTATCTGTAATCCTAGCTCTTGGGAGGTAGAGGCAGAAGGATCAGAAGTCCAGGGTTATCCTTAGCTACATAGTGAGTCCAAGCCTGCACTAAGTGAGACTCTGTCTCAAAAACACAAGAAAAAATAAACAACAAACCAAAAATACAACACAGAATAGTAACAATAGAACTTTGAAAACATGCATGAATTCGAGCTTTACTATAAAGACATAGTAGCCAAGACTGTCATAATGGAGAAAGAACAAACAGATCAGCAGAAAAAAGGGAGAGCCCAACAATAGACCCACAAAGTCAACTGACTGTCACAAAGGTGTCAAGGTAATTCAATGGCTTGAACAATCTGGTATCCATGTGGAAAAACATTACCTTTGATCCTTGACTCACAGCATGTACAACAATTAACAGCAAGTTGATGGGAGACTGCAGTGAGAGTTAGCGATATCGACTCTCTAGATGGTAACATTGGAGGAAACCTTTGTGACCTTGGTCAGGTAAAGATTTCTTAGACAAGCACAAAAAGAATAACCCATAAAGGAAAATACTGACAACTTAGACTTCATCAAATCAGTAACAGCTGTTCTCTGAAAGACAGTGTTAAGAGAATGCAAAGGAGGAGGAGGGTTGTAGCTCAGTGGTAGAGCACTTACCCAGCACGCACAAGGCCCTGAGTGGGATTTCCCAGGGCACCAAACAAGAAGTGCATAAATTATAAGGGCATATATAAATGCTCAAAATAATTAATTATTAGGGAAGTTAGAGAAATATTATTTGAAATTCCACTACCTGTCATTAGAATGGTACGATTTAAGAGACTTACAATATGAATTGCTCCTGAAAATACAGAGCAACTGGAACTCATATTGCGGGTGAGACTGAAAAGTGTCACAGCCATCTTGGAAAACAATTCGGCAATTTTTTATTTACCTAAACACTGTAAAAGTCAGAAATCCTATCCTAAGGAGTTTGTCCATTAAAATGAAATGAAGATCTGAGTCTGTTTGTATATAAATGCTCACAGCAACGCTGCTCAAGATGGCCTGCGGAAAGCAGCATCTAAAATGCACCCCCACTTACTGGTATTCATGGTCACAGAATCAGCTCACTTGAATGCAGGCTGGATTTACTCAACTACTTCTTTTTAAAAATATTTTATTTATTATTTTTACTTTATGTGTATGAGTGTATTACTTGCATGTAGGTAGGTGCACCCATGTTGTGCAATGCCCAAGGAGGTCAGAAGAGGGCATCAGATCCCCTGGAAATGGAGTTATAAACAGTTATTAGATGCCACGTGAGTGCTGGGAGTTGAACCCGGGTCCTCTTCAAGAGCAACCAGTACTCTTAACCACTAAGCCATCTCTCCAGTGCCTATTCAATCACTTCTAATAAAATATGGCTGAAGTGACAGCATGCCAGTTCCAAGATACTGAGATCACTTTCTCCTCTATGAGGCTGTTTATGGCATAAAGCCAGGAGGCAGCCTTGCAGAGAGACTCACTTGTCAGTACATGGATGTGGGGACCCCAAGTCCTGCCGGCCTCTATATGAGTCAGCATGGCAGTGCTTTCTCTCACCCTAATCAAGCCTTCATACAATCCCTCAGCTTTGCTGACACCTTGACTATGTTTTCATGAGACCTTGAGCTAGACAGGCTCAGCTAAGCTGTGCCTAGATTCTAGACTTGCAGAAACTGTCAGATAATAAACCTTTGTTGTCTGAACCCTCCAACTTTTCATATAACTTGTTATACAACAATAGCTCAAAATAGCTCAAAATCAGAAGCAACCCAAATATCTATTAACTAGTGGATGCATAAAAAAATTGATCTCCTTAACTGGAATGGCACTCAGCAACCAAAAGAATGAACTGCTGATAAATATAATAATCTGGATGACTCTCAGGAGCATTATGCTAAGTGAAAGAAGTCAGACACAAAAAACTACACACTATATGTTTCCATTTATATGGCGATGTATGAAAGACAGAGCTGTAGTAATAGAAAGCAGTAAGGGAGCGGGTACCTAAGCCTGGAGCTGAGGGAAAAGGCACTGACCGCAAAGGGGCATGAGGAAATACAGGTGATAGGAATGTGTTGAGGGTGGTGGTTACATGGCTGTGCCTTTATCAGCCACTTAACTGTACCCTTAGAATAGTTGTGTTTTACTACATGTAATTATACCTCAGTGAAGCTGAGTAAGAAGTTTATCAATTTTACAAAGGCAATGCGTATCTTAATGACTCTGACGACAACAATGTTTCTGAAATGGCCTTCAGGATATACAACCTTCCTTGAATAGACATAATCCAGGTTGAAAAGCTATAGTGCAATTAAACAAAGCTGCAAACGACTATCTCATCACTGTGGACATATAACGTAACCTAATGAGGGATGCGACCAGCTCATCTTATTCATATTCCTGCTTGAACTCCAGGAGAGGGAAACACACAGATCCTGCACCCATGGAAGGAGAATACTGGGTGCCATCTTAGAACCTTGGAGACACAACCATCAACACCATCTGGTACAATGGTCTTGCCTCACAGATGCGGGCAACTGAGGTCTATGGAATATAGACAGTAAATTACCTAAAAAGTCATGCTATAGGACAAAAAGACCCAGATGTTGGTCTCCAAACTCTGTGTCTAGTGCCTGCTGCTACTCCAACCTTCTCTCTGCCTGTGGGCATGATCAGAGGTATTTCTCTAGCCAAGGATGTATTTCAAACGAAAAGAAGGAAAAACGCAGTGCTACCTATCAGCTAACCCACCAATCACTCCGTAGATTCTCTAACTTACAGAAATCCTGAGGTCATACCTGGAGAGTGCTGGCATGGTGGCTCAGAGTCCTTGAAGAGTCATAGTGGGCAGGATTGGCCAGCAGACGACTGGTCTTTTCTATCCATGCCTCAGTGCTCTTCAGAAGTTCACTATACTCCTCCATCTTGACTGTGGCCTGTGAAGGCAATGGGGCACAAGCCTGTTGGAGGTAGTTACTGGAAGAGACTGACCCCTGAGTGGTGAGTTAGAGGCTATTGACCAGTGGTATGCCAGTCTCCTTCATGGCTGAGGACATAGTCCCGCCTGCTCCAGGTGAAGAAACCTCTAGTTTTATAGAGTGATCCCCACCACAGGTGGAAAGCACTGAAGGAGTTCCACTGAGGACCTCAACAAAGGTTCCAAGTCTGCACTGTAGCTAGCCCAGCTCCCGTTTCTGCCTCGTTCTGAACATGGACCTTGTACTTCCTCCTCTTGTCCAGGACCTGGCCCTATCATATCCCATTTCAGGATCCTTGTCCTAGCTGGATCACACTCTAAAGACGCCATACCCAGCCCCTTTTTAGAATAGGGCTAGAAAGGAACCTTATATTCAAATGGCACCTTTCTCATTGTCGGCTCCCTTCCCAGGCTCTGGGGACAGCATGCCCTAGATGCCCATTCCTGGTCTTCATTTACCTAGGGAACTACCACAACTGCCTGGACTCCCTCTGTGGTCTCACTCAGCACCATGGGGTGGAGGTAGGTACACGGGACTGGCTGCCTCTGAATGTTGCCCGTTGTTTAGCTTTGTTGAAACCCATCTTAGAACTTCCCCATGCTCTGCAGCTATCGTATATTACAGCCCCACCTTGTTGAGCTGTGAGGTTCTGGATTCTGCTCTCTGTGATACTTGTTGGTACTGCTGGAAAGGAACCATCAAATTATCCATCCATTCTTGAGCCTGTCCTGGGTCCTGCTCAACAATGTCCTGGACTTCAGAGTCCAGCTCATTCAGCTTGGAATGCCAGAGATCTAGCTCATCCCATATTTTCTGAAAAGGAAATGGTAAGTCAGAGTTTGAGTGAAGATATCATGGGAATAATGATGAGTTCACACGTGGCACTTGCATTTAGCAAGCCACCAATGCAACATCGTGGGCACAGCTGCTCATTTATACCCACAATCATTTGGTATCTGAACTGAGAAACACTTTGAGTTCTAACTGAAACCATATTCACTTCAGGACAAGTGAGCTCCCGCAGGACTGAAAGACTTGGGCACTGATAAGGGATGACTGACAGCAAACAAGGTCGATATGGTCCTATGCTTTCAAAAGCAAGGGGGGGGGGCATGGTAGAGTGAAGAAAGGCTCTGTAAGCAGGGTGTGGTGGTGCATGCCTCTAGTCTCAGCTCTCAGGAGGCTGAGGCAGGAGAACTGTTGAGATCAGGAATTTGAGACCAGCCTGGATGGCACAGTAAGAAAAGCAAACATCTCCAGAAGCAAACTCAAAAATAAAAGGGCTCTTCAGACTTGTAGATGTATATACATGCACACGCACATAAATTTACACACACATATATTATCTAGAAAACAAAATATTTATCTAATGTAAAAATAAAAGTGGTAACAACAAAAATATCTATTGCCAAGAATTAATGTGGTATCAGAAAGTTTCTGCACACACATTAGTAGTAAAAGCTTTTGACTCAAGAAACCAATAGGCTGGATTCAAATCTGAACTTATCTGGGTAGAAGGAGATTTCAAAGGTAAAAGGCTCAGTATTTGTTTAATAACATAACTTGGGAAATGAGAAAACCTGACTTTTAGGTTAAGTTCTCCTACTTAAGAGCCAAGACAGTGTCTAATAAAGAGTTATAGTTGGATCTGCTTTTTAAAGCCTCCTATTAGATTTGAGTACTTCCTAAAAATGTAGATAAGAAATTATAAACAAAAGAATTCATTGGCGAGTGCAGACCTTTCTATGCTAAAATTCTTACTGTCCCTTTATTTGTGGAAATGCTAGTTCACAGAGGGTTACCAGGAGCCAGGGCAAGTGCCTGCATGCCAAAAACTGAGCCTAACCTTTAATATGCCTGAACTTCCATTCCTCTGTGGTGGCCTCCCATCATCCATGCCCCTGTGGATCTGGTTTATGGTATTTGTTTATTTATCATTTATTTACTTATTGAGACAGGGTCTCAGCCCAGGGTGACCTTGAACTCATTATGTAACCAAAGATGACCTTGATCCCCTGCCTCCAACTGCCAAGTGTCTGGATTACAGGTATATACCACCATGCCCTGTTTTATGCTATGATGGGGATCAAACTCAGAGCTTTGTGCAGGCTAGGCAAGCACTGTCAACTGAGCCACATCCTTAGCTCTAGTTTAGGGTCTTGGGGCTTCAGATCCATCCAAAGAATGCATCTTGGGCTGACAGAGTGGCATCTTGGATGCAGATAAAGGGATGAGACAGAAATGCCAATGCTGATGCAAGTTCAAAGAGCTTGTTACCTTTTGAATGTCTTGAGCTTCCTCGATGTTTTTGCTTTTCTGTTGCAGCATCTTTTCAATGTCCTGAAGCCCACTGTTAATTGTCTCTATTTTCCTACTCATCACCAACGATGGGGAACTCTTCAAGACTTCACTGCTCATCTGTTACAGAGGAGAAAGGCACAGTTGGTTCTCTTTAGTCTCAGGATCTGACAACAAAATCTGTTCTCTTTTCACTTGTAAAAAATTTTAAGGTCTGAGAGGGATAAAATAAAAACACCACCAAAAACAAAAAACCTCCAAACCATACTGTATTAGTGACAGGGTAGATTGGCAGACTGCTAAATGACCTTTCAAAATATAATCTATAAACTGGGGCTGCAGAGATGGCTCAGTGGTTAAGAGCACTGGCTGCTCTTACAGAGGAGCCGGGTTCGATTCCCAGCACCCACGTGGTGGCTGACAACCATCTGTAACTCCAGTTCTAGGGAATCCAATGCCTTCCTTCTGACCTCAGTGGGCATTGCACAACATGGGTGCACATACACATATGCAGGCAATATACTCATACAGATTAAAAAATTTAAAATATAATCTATAAATAAACAAATTTAATTTAATATAAAAAAGTGTGCTATGTTGGGCAAAATTGCTGAGTGTACTCTTTGCGACACACTCCATGTGCATGAAATGTTAGAAAAGAATTCCTGCAGAAAATATTTCTTCTATGATCTCTCCATTTCATAAGAAAATCTTCTAAACAATCTGCTTTCGGTAAGACCAACCTTATTCTCAAGCCACTTAAAAACAAAATGTAATTTCCACCTTCCTATTTTCTTGGGTGAAACAACCTCTTCAAAGCAGCTACTTCTTGAGGCTGGAGGGTTTCATTTCTCTCTGTGATTGCTTCTGGTATATGTTTTCCTAGCCACCAGAAATCTAGCTGCTGAGCAGTATAATTTTCTTAATCTAAATAATTTTCTTAAGAAAATAACTTGTGCTAGGAAAGAAGGAATGTTGACTGCATCATTTTTCCAACTGTGTGTGTGTGTGTGTGTGTGTGTGTGTGTGTGTGTGTTTAAATTACTGTTAAGGCCACCCCCAAGCAACCACTAAATAGCCAAATAATACTATGTGCTTATCTGAGGCTAAAACTACTCAGTGCAGATAAGGATGTGGATGCAGATGCTAAAACCTGGGCTAAAATAATCACAGACCATATATCAAGGTGATGGTAGAACTTGACTTGAGAAGCCCAGGTCCCCAGGCTCCATGGCAAGCTCCGATAACAGAAGGCTGCTCAATTCACATCATGTTTTGTTCACAGACCATAAATAAAGGTCATTATTTTAAGATTTATTTATGTGTATGAGTGTTTTGCCTGCATGTATGTATGTTCACCACGTGTGTATGTGGTGCCTGCAGAGGCCAGAAGAAGGCATTGGATACTCTAGAATTAGAGTTACAGACAGCTGTGAGCCAACATACGGGTTCTGGGAATCTAACCCAGTCCTCTGCTGAGCTATCTCCCCAGCCCCAGATTTTATTTTTTTAAATCTCCCTTTAATTCTGTATTCTTTTTCTTGCTGGCCATGAACACATTACCATTTACTACACTACCATTTAATACTATTTAATGCCATTTAATATTGTGTTCTTTTTCTTGCTGGCTATGTAACACATTACCAAACAAATTATAGCCACGAGTTTTACATAATCTCTGTATCTGTGACCTGGATCCTCGAACTTCCTTGAGACCCATCATAGAATAGAAATCAGTTCCGTTTGTTACAAACATACAAATACACAATGGAAAATTTTACCCTTAAACTGTGAAAGACTGTTTTTTATTATTAGCTTATTTTGTAGGGGTTTTTCAGATATCGTGAAAATAATGTTGCATTTCTCTCAAAATATTTAGTAGACTACTGAAGCCACTGACACAC